TTGAAGATTTTAAGCCATCTTTATTATTATCACTATCATCATAATCGTCAGCTATAAAAGTAACGCAAAGAAATAAAATCATTTATATCACTCGAGAGTTTTTCAGCCAACAACATGATCTATTATTACTATCTTTTTCAGGATTAGTTTTCCTTCAATATCGAAACGAAACAAAACGAGCTCTGCTGCCAAACGAAATCACATCAATAGACACCGTCAAAGCACTCTTCGTCAGATCCTTTCCAAAACAGCTGACTATGGAGTATCTGGATTCACCCAACGTGAAAATCTACATCCACGATTCTTCCAAGGATATGTTTTACGAACTAGAAGATTTGAGGTAAGCGAAAAGATTAGCTTGTATTGTCATTCAAAGAACCGAAATCAAAGAGTAGCTTCACCTACAAGACAACTATATGAAACCAAAGACCAACACTAGCACCACTGGTACTGGCCACCTTGTCACCAGCATCACTGGTGATGAGGTGGCGGAAAAATCAGAAATCAATTTCTCATTCGACGGTCGATGTACCAGGCCGTCGTGAGAACCTTTGTTGGCTTTGAATGTTCTGTATTTCCCATAGATAGAGTTTCCATAACAGGAGGTGTTCATACTTACTTCCATCTAGCATAGTTCCTTGCGAACATTTGAGTGATTCAGCTTAGCACCACTGCTGGAATATATGGGAGATAAAAAATAGCACTGTCTGGTTGACGAATCATGAGTATTTGGTTTTTGGGCTTCAATTTCAATTTCACTTCCAAATTAACACCCACTCATCTCAATCCCAATGGTTTTTGATCTTTGTAACTTTACAGATCACATCTCCGCGAAATACGAGACAGATCGGTGCTCAGGCTATTCGAATCTGCTGATGTCTCAGGAGGCCTTCCCATGGCAGGGATAGGTATAGCAGGAGGAGTCGGACATTTCGAAGATCCCAGCTACTTTTCTGAACCGGAATTCGACTCGGAATACCAGCATCAACATATACATAAAAGCAAGGTGAGTGAATTTCAATTTCTATTTTGTGTCCTACAAGTTCCAGTTTGCAAAGGCGTTCCAAATATGGTAACCGAATGTTAAGTAAACTTCAGTGATACGGGTATGAAACACATCAAGAGCAACTATAGTTCCAGTAAGATTTTTGATACTCGACACTCTTTCTACGGCTGTTATTCTAGCTCTGATGAAGATAGTGAGCTGAGACGCTAGATGGTTGGGTTGGCGTGGATTTTTTGCTCCACTCACTCAATCGACCGCTATGTGAAGTGTGGGTTGGAACCATAAGGCCGGTCGATCGATTTTCACTTCCTATCGTGCAACTAGAAATCTCACGTTGGAAGATAAGACCTGGTTAGTCCTTAGCTCGCTCAAGGTTCGACTTTTGTTACTATAAAGGTGGCTCGTATCACAAATGTAAAGTGCAACTCCAAAGAGAAAGTATTTGAATCAGGATATAATACTGGTTTGGTCAATGGGGGCAGATGGTTCCAGTTTCTCAAGTGTTAGAAAGAGTGACTAACTTACTCACTGAATATAAAAGTTGCATCTCGAATATTGTGAAATTAATACCTCGGCCCTCAGCCCAATGAGAATTGAAGTTGAAACAATAATCTGATGAATTGATTAGATAAAAACCATAACTAAAAACAACCAGTATGATGGTGACATTCGTTATCAGAGAAAGTAAGAATCAAGAAAAGAAAATACTCATTCAATTCCCTTTGTTGCAAATTGATTGGTTGGCTAAATACATACATGTATACTCTTCCAAATAAAAGGGAGTTTCAGGAAATGTCATTGCATGTTGATTTTGGAAATATTCAGATTGTGATACTCACCGACAGAAAGTCAGTGACTAAAAGTCCTGGAGATAAGCGAAAACTCGATACGTTACAAAGCGAAATATTTTGCTCGTACTATCAATTGGAGTCTGACTTCAGCTCATCATTTCCTTTGAATGACGAAACAGCTACTTAATCTACTTGGCAGTCGAGAATGGAACACAGTGATCTTCAGTGGTGGGAAAAATTGATAGAAAATGATCTAAACTTGCATTTTTCACAATCAGTAAAATGAACGCACTACCAGAAATGGTCTAGTCCCCCTTTCACGAATTCCAAAGAATCTGAGTTGAATATGATTCTTGGTCTTTTTGTTTTACTTACGAAAGTACTATTTTTATTTCAATTGTCGAGTTGGCGTGAATTCGGTCGAAATGTTGAAGAAAACCAATTGCTAAATTGTCGACATTTCGACATTTCTTTGTTTCATCTCCAGACTATTAAGGGCGGATTTCTGAGTTCAAAAGCCACCCTAAATGGTCCTGAAGATGAAACAATAAAGTTTCGAAACATTTAAAATTTTGAGGTTCTCAAAAAGATATAATTCGTTTTTCCTCATTAACAGCAGCTGATATGAAATTAATCTATGAGAAATCAAACTGCCACTTTTTTTGTCAACCAAGTTTTCCAGTTGATACTGAAACGGACAACAAACGCCACGTAGATACAGCTTGCAACTTATGCAGCTTGAAAGTAGGAATTAGGAAGCTTTAAAAAATTAATACAGGTGACTTAGGACGTACAAGGTAGACCAATAAGAACGAAACGATGCCAATACCCTATAGTTGCGAATATTTTCACTATGACATTCACACTCCCTATCCAACAACGGAAAATTCAATGGGATAAGGGGGTTAACGATATCTCATTTGAAAGATCATCAATTTATTTTTCCAACAATTCTACTGTCATCAAAAGTTATGTGGTCGATATGTTTGGAATCAGAAAATGAAAGAAGTTATCGCTTTCTTTTGTTAAAGGTAGAAGTGATGGAATATCACCTATATTTGTTATCAGCCAGTATTTTTGCTGACACTACTTGGGTGCCTTACATTCCCACAATGGTTCATTCACTAAAAAATGAGTATCGATAATCGAACTCTATTGTGGAATCTGAAGGTGCGCTAATATTACAGCACATTTATATTTTCTGTGGACTCATAGCGAAAATTATATATTTTATTATAAATTATATAGTAACTGGTACAGAGAAGAACACCGATATAATTATGGAAGGAAAAAATGCCCGGAAAATTTTCAAAAAACTTCATTTTCTTCCACTGAAACTTTCAATCATTAGGAACAGTATTATCCGAGAATCGTAGATGATGTGTATAGTCCGGATTCATTTGGAATTTACTTTTATTCTAGTATGTCATTAATGTTTGTCAGTTTGGAATAATCAATTATAATCAACGTATTGAATTATTCAGTTGCAATAGAAACTTCATTAGTGAATAGTGAAATGTTATTCAAATGAAAGGATTGGTAACCAATAAATCATTAGATGAAATAACATACATTAGAAGGTTTCGAATGGAATTACAATTATTTCGAGTTGCGACACTTAGTTAATTCATTATGTGTTCATTAAATTAGTTGGTAAAAATGTTCTTTCATGATGTTTATATTTTCACTAAACTCATGTATGATTCAAATAATATTCATAGTTATAATAATGATGGGATTTTATTTTATTTGACGACGTTCAGCAAACAAAAAGATTACAACAATGATTTTTAGGTATCTTTTGAAAAATAAACTGAAACGGAAAACATTCTGAAGATCTTACATAACCTTTTTTTAAATCCATATCTGAGAGACAATAAAGAAAGTTGTTTTATATTTTCTTCTATATTATTATAGATAGTAACGGCCTGATATCATGTGTTACTCATCTGTATTTCATTTTCTGCAGAAGATAGCGAGGTTATTCTTTCATTCTGAAGTTATGAGCGAAATTAGACGTGAGCAATTCTCTCCTTTTAGGCATTTTCAGCCATCAAATCTGACATATGAAGGGAGATACGTGACATCGAAATTTTAGGCAAAAAATCAATCTTTTAGGTGAATTCTGAACTTTTTATATTCTTGAACACGTGATTTGATCTAGACAAGTGCAAACAACCCATACACTTTTCGAGTTAGGTAGTTGCGGTAGAGGGTCTCTCACTTTTGATCAAGTTTACATGTGATTGAAAGCATAATTTGTGATCAATCAAGTCCCAAACATTTAATTTCATCGCTACATACAAGTAAGTAATCACTTTCGATTTTTATGCTCTATTTTCCTAATGCCAACAGATGAGAGTAAAGTCTTGGCTAGTATTGGAAGGAAATGACTAATTTTTTCCGATATTGGGATGTCTTTTGATTCAACTACAACATTCTACCATAGCCTTTTTTTTTCTTCTCCTGTCACTCCTCTCACTCTTTTCATTATTCAAATCAGGCTAACCATCATTTATAACTGCGATTTCCCCAACTGTCACCCACTTTCATCGACGGACTTTTATTTTGAGATATTAATCCAGCTTCGGTTCCACAACACTCTCACTCTGTCAATTGTCAACGACAAGCAATTAGGATTATTTGATTTTATCAAGGATTATCAAACTTTATAGGTTGTTCAACTTAATAATATAGTTGGTATGACGATTCGGGTTTTATTTATTTTTTGTTCAATAAAGAACCCCACCTGTCTTCTCTGAGCAAGGTATGTTCAGAAATGATTGAATATTTTGCAGCTAACGGCCAACCAAGCAGCACAAAGCGTTGTATTCGCCGCAAACATTGGACAATGTTGATTGTGTTCATGTATAATTATTATTTGTTGATTTTTTGCTATTGTCCCTCTTTGAAAATTGTATATTTCTTGGCATCAATAAACGTTGATATCTTAATATGAAAAAAGTGGTAATCCTTGACTTCGAAGTGCAAATTTCAGTTGAGGTCAATAAATAATAGAAGTTTCTGGAAGTAAAACAAGAACCTTTTGAATAAGTAGACGGTTTTCTTTTCGAAACCTCCCCGGCTTATCGATTCATGATGAAATTTCCTTTCCTTTTCATTTACCAACGTTACTTTGAGAACCAAGGGAGAAGTTTTTTAACCGAATTTTGCAGGGATTTGGCAATGAAATGAAGAAGAAATTTTGTTGATATTATAATTTATGCTTGAATCCCAAAGGATTTTTTTTAAAAAACATAACAACCTGAAGTTTTTGTTATAAATATTACATGTTACAAAACAAATTATGTTCGAGTTTAGAGAACAATGGAAATAGTACTTACATTGAATCGTATACTTGTACATCTAGAACTAAGCATTTTGTACATTTAATTGGAAACAGGGTGGAAAAAATTTCATTGCTGAGACTGCTCAATCGATTTACAACTCATGGATATTCATCGAGGTTTACTTACTGTTTACTCTGTTACATTATGAACTCAAATTATTATTATAGAATGATCGTAGACTTACATTTTCAAAGTAAGTAATTGTGCCAGTAACACTCAGATAGTTGTACTTGTCGGAAATCATCGCTTCAATGCTTTCACACAAATTGTTTCTTTCATTCGACCCTAAAATATTTTCACACAACTAACATCTAGAAAACCTTGCACTCCGGAACAGCAGGTGAGTAAAAAGCACCCGAATACAGCTTCTTCGGCACAGTCCTCCACCCAAATATTAAAGCCTTATCAAAAGGCTCTTCGTCGCACCCATTGCAGACATTGAGCACGGCTTTAACCTCCGCTTCAGCGGGTTCTCTCTCATCTTCCTGTTTCTGCTGCTGGGAAATCCCCTCGTTCTCTCCAATACCGGCTAAGCCATAAAGCAGGCTCTGGTCATAGGAGCTCAGGTCATCAGCGTTCAATTGTGTTCGGTATCCTCCTAGAATAACCTGCCTCTTTTCGTGTTTGTTAGTCTTTTCAACGACTTTGTCTCCGAACTCAGGTTTCTCAGCAGTATTTTCTTCAGAGCTCTCTTCACTCTGACGTTTAAACAGAGTGTGAGCATCCAGACCTGATTGACCGTTCTCTAGTAAAGAGTGGCTGAATCCATTGTTCAAAATTGGATTATTTCCCAGGCTCAGAAATTGGCTAGAATAGGATCCCTCGCCTGAAGGTACTGGTAGCTGAGCCTGAGGAGTGAAGAGTTGAGCTTGTTGAGCCTGTTGAGCTTGTTGAGCTTGTTGCTGACTCAGCTGCTGCGTAACCAAATTCGAAACAAACTGTCCGTTTAGAAATTGAACGTCGTACTGCTGTCCGGGCACATTTTGCGCAGCTAGGTTGATTTTCACGTTGGGGTTGATCTGACCACCTGTCAGTAGGGGATGTGCCGGTAAAGTAGGATGGTTTCTGGGGGTTGTGGGGGCTTGAGTGGTGATGGACCTTCCGTTGTGGTCGAACTGGTGAGCGTGGTGGTGTTTGTGGTCCTTGTGTGCTTTTCCAGCAGTTAAAGCTACGCTGTAGAATTGAACCATGGTGATTTCTCCTAGCATGCCTCCAGATCCTGTTGAAAAAACATAAACCGATTACTAAGTGGTTTTGACATGAATATTTTTCCGTTTCAGCCATAGAGATTTATCACTTACGGGAATACACACATGAGCATTATTGAAATATCTATATAACTTGTTTTTTGGTGATAATTGTGAAGTGCAGATGACTAAATATCTTTGCAGTTTGGTGACATTATTCCACTATACATATTTTGATAGGTTTTTTAATAAATACATACATGGAAGATATCAATATTAGTTTCTCTAATATGAAAGGTGCTTTTATCAAAGCGTTCGCAGAAGTTATCTAGGAACTGTATTCAGAAGTTTCATCTGATAGAGTAAACAATGCCTACTTTGAAAGTCAGATTCAAAGATTTGCCCTCTGGTTTATGGGATCTATTTCGAAAAAAAAATTAAAAGAAGGACTACTTCAATATTATTCAATATTCAAAAACCTATAGGTGAAGAAATAAATACTACAAAAAACTTTATCGAATTTAATGAGAACTTGTTATATGTTTAACGAGTCAGTAAGGAATGTGTTCTGATTAGATTGAGATTAGTTCGGTGCAAGCAATCTGAAGTTTGGGATAAATCAGCCGTATACTGTTCAGAAAAATGACCATTGATATGGCGCAGGCGCGTGTTAAAAATACTTTTTTCAAGTGAAGAAATACATGTAAAGTGAGTTCGAATCATATCAAGCGTCATCTGCCCGCGAATAGATCAAGCAATAATGTCTATATATCAAGGAGTTCACACACAGAGCCATCTGCCCGTGAATTGATCATCTGCCCGAACTTGAGAGTTATAAACAAACAAATATACATTCATACATACAGGTGAAGCTAATATAAAGCGTGTAAAAAAGAAAGGTGTTTTTTATTGATCATCTGCCCGAACTTGAGAGTTATAAACAAGCAAATATACATTCATACATACAGGTGAAGCTAATATAAAGCGTGTAAAAAAGAAAGAGGTTTTTTATTTTTAAATATAGCCAAACACTATTCCTTCTATTATTCACTGAATAAATTAAATATTTATATTCAAATAGTGAGTATTCCCTGTTAATTCACTTCATATCGACAATAGTCAAACGGCTTTACTTTTTTGTCTCGTAATCTAGTATTAGATATAAAAATATACCTAATGACATCCGAATTTTCAAGCAAAGAAGATGTTACTCAATCTCTCGAAATTGTTGGTGGCTGATGAACTGAGAGTTTGAGCCAATTTTATTCAAATTGAAATTTATCGAATCCATTTTTGTTTGTTTTGTAGAGGAAAGTTGGGATACTTTCTAATATCTACAGTTCATGAATTCTCCTTGAGGCTAATCAGTGGAGTTTGAACATTTGATCAGAATTCATTAATTAAATTCCTTTTCAAACTTGTAACTTCAATTTTCATGGTGGAAGACTTCGCTAACATTGGAAAGTTGCTTGTTGGAAAATTTTCAAATAACCCTTACTTTTTCAGTGACTAATAAGACATGCCGAATTATTGAGGAAGTTTTGTGAATCTCTACGAGCAACGTGATACAGATCTGTCAATCAACGATGGAATCATTTTTTTATTGAAGATTTCAATACAATTTTTAACTCATATTGTGATAGTGGTGTTGAAAGATTTTGTATAAATTTGTATGATTGTATAGAGATTGTATAGGGCTCCAGACGGATATTGATTCTATTATGGAATGAAGTCAGAATAAATTATACTTCAATTTGAAAAAATGTTGGGTGCTCTCAAAAACTCGTCTAAAAAAACCAATTACTTTTGCGTATCAAATAAATAGAGAAGTCCTAGAAGGAAAAACAGAAGTAAAATTCACAATTCTCATTTTCTAGTCATATAAAAACAATACAAAATCTGCCAATAGAATTCTGGGTTTTGTGATTAGGCGGGCATCATGCTTTTCGAGTATACATACGATTAAGCTACTACCTATATTATTCGTTAGTAAGGCCTAAACTAGAATTTGCTTCGATTATTTGGTCCGGGGAATATCAAAAGTATCTATATGAATTGGAAAAGGTCCAGAACAAATAACTAAGACATTTATACTTGAAACAGTATCATGTGTGGCCTGATCATAATACCATAAGAACATATTAATTGAGATCGGAATTTAAAATATTATGTCTGAAACAACGAAGGAGCTTGAACTGTATGATAGTTCTGCACAATACAAGTATTTGAGACTATATGAGACAAATTGAATACAAGTATTTGAGACTGATTTTCCACATCTCCATAATTTTGGACTCGGTTCATCTCCTACAATTCTGGGCATTGACTAATAGGTAGTAAGTATAATATAGACAATATTTTTATGTAAATATTTGTAATTAGGCTGAAATAGCTTGTTTGGGTAATAAATAAATGAATAAATAAGTAAATAAATGAATGGATGGATGGATGAATGAATGAATGAAGAAAAAAATGAGTTTAGTTTATACAGAAAAATATATTACAATTCAGTTGAATTTTATTGTCGTGGTGATCCAGAAAGAGAAAATTTTGACTCAGTTTCAATATATTGGTCATTCATTTTTCCAAACGAAGTTGAGATCAAATGTAAAGATGTTGAACTCGGATCAAAATACAAGGTCGTTACTGTATTGAATGAAGTTTGTACGAGTCTGATAATAGAGTTTGTAACTTCTTTAGATTACTAATCTTCACTCAATAAAACATATAAAAAAAGAAAGTGATACAAATTATGAAACAACAAAAATTAATTGGCGTTCTGGGGCGACTTCATTGATTCCAGTGGCACATTTGCTTTTTTCGCTGCAGAAAAACCCGGAAAAACCTGCAGCACCACATCATCTAAAGATCTTGATCTGCCAGTGTCCTTTCTGTCATGGCATAAAATGTAGGGGTTCGAGATATTGCCAGAATATTTAGTGACATGACTATCGTCAAACTTAAATCAGTCTGTTTCGTCTTAGACCAATGCGTAATAATGACCAGATTCAACGCCAAAACCACAGTGAACAATGACTGCATGAAGATTATAATAGTTATCTGCTAGATTGAAGTGTTCATCTATTTCGAACCTTCGTAAGAGTTTGGAACTTCCGTCAGAGGTTGTGTCGTGTTTGAAGATCACCAGTGTTATTATTTGATTGACTGGTGCCTCAGCTATACTTGTTGTCTTATAATTGTCAGTCAGTTTGACAAATATTTGGCAATACAGTTGATCATCACCCGTTGAAAGTTTTATTTTCCGATGATTCAACAATAAACTTTGCACAAACTGGTTATCAGTTATATTAGGAAACGCTACTTGAAGTTCTAGAAAATTACATACGTCCACCTCTTGAACATGTACTACAAAGTAAACTAGTAGAGATTTTTCCAGTAAAAGATATACGAACACAAGACGGGATAGATTGTACATAATCATTCAATCCAGAGTATTCAACAAGAACCCCAAGAATTCGGAACAAAACTCTTGTTGTCCTAACGAGTATCTAGTGGACTTCAAAGACTCTAGGAAATCGGTTGATGAAGAAGATGAACATTCTCTTTGGAGAGTTTTGTTTTGTATGTAAATATTCTTTTGAAATATGTATCTAGGTAGGAATTAAAAAAGGTTAATTTCTAGGAGAGATATGAATACAACAAAAATTATTTGTAAAGATGTAACGAGGGGTACTATTTATATTTCCTGAATAGCAAATAACATCAAACATTTCCTAATGAAAATGGCTTCATTGTTTTTTGAAATATTCCCCTTGATAAACAATATATTTTTTTGCCTTCGTTCAAACCATTCGTCAAAGCAGTTCTTCTATTCTTCTTGAAACCCCTCCAAAACATTGTTTCTGAACGCTTCAACTGCTTCTTCGGCACTCTTAAATCGTTAACCACGTAGTTTACATTGAAAATTGGGCAACAAGTCTTTGGGTGCCAAATCAGGACTGTACGGTCCTGTTTGATGAGATGTGTGGGAGCGCGAATTGTTATGATGGAGAATAATTCGTATTCAGCGGTTATTTTCACGAATTTCTCCGAAGACCAAACAAATGGTCGTGTACCACTCAGAATTGGCCGTTCTATGTTGATTAAGCCGGACAGTGGCCACATGTCCCATTCTGCTGAAGAAACTGGCGATCATTTGCTTCGCTGTGCTTCTTTCACGAACAACTTGAAGTGGGACTAATTTGCAAGGATTCCTCTATCTTACAATATGTCACATAACGATCTTGCATTATATTTTCACGCACTGTATCGATGTTTTGTGGCACATCTGATTTTGGAATTCGACAGCGACCGAAGTACGACCAAGATTCGTTCGATCATCTCCGTTTTAGTCAGGTTGCAGCCTAGCTCCCATGCCCTTGTGACTGGCATTTGTTAGAAAATCACGATTGAATTCACTGTACCAGCAATATAATGTGGTTGTTGACAAAGAAATGACACATTCTTATTGAGATAATCCACGTCGAAAGATGTGGAAAATGATCCAACGGAAACCATCTCTTAAATTTCCATTTTTTGGTCAAATTGACTCGCGCAACTTACTGTAAACAATACAAGTACATCTGTACACAAGTACATTACAGTACAAGTCATTCTGGTACATCAAAACGTTGTTAGCACGTTTATGCTAAAGATGTCAAACTTCATCATGGTGTTGCCACATTTTAGCTATTGGCAGCAGTGTTGCCAGTTGGGAATAGTTTCCCATTGCATAGTGCATACCCAGACATTAACTGGAAGTAAAAACCCTTCAGAATCTAGAAACTTTTAATAAATTTTTTGTAATATTTTTGCAACTTCAGCCTTATGATTTCGATTAGAAAAGTTCTTGCTGAAAAAATCAAGTAAGTACGGACACCTAGGCCTACTTTGACAATTTGAATTTCATATAAATAGTTTTCTGAATATGGGTTTTTCCTCGAGAGATTTTGAAGACATACCTTTTGGAGCTTCAGCGCCTTCTTGGAAGCCTCCTCCAAGCTGACTCTGCGATTGTCCTGTGATAGCGATACCTCCACCAGGTATGACGTGACCTACCAACTGTGAAAAAAAATTTAAGGTCTGATTTTGTATTTGGAATAACATACAATATAATTTCAATATAACAGGTTGATATAGTTTCTTCTTCAAATGAAGAAGAACCGAAAATTGTACTCTTTTTAGAATATTAATATGAAGCTTCATACATAGTTTTTCCTGATTTAAAATCGTTAGCTTGAGAACAGAATCGTCTTATCTTACGTGAGTGAGATAAATATGATAGTAAGGTCATGCCAAAAATTGTTGAACTCCCTGCACCGCAGGGATCGGTCTAAGGTCCACTGCTGTTTCTCTTGCATGTAAATGTCCGACCGCAAAATATAGTAGGTGCATTTAATAATGTTTACTCGCGTTACTTCTATGGATCTATCAGAACAAAATGTAGAGAAACTTGTTGGCAAATCAGAACGCGTAATCGACACATTCATTGCATGGACTCAAAAAAGCAAGTTCATTCTGCATCAATCAAATTCAATTCAAGTGGAGATCAACCTGATAATTCCATTACAAGTGTTACCGAACCTTCCTTCGAGGTAAATTTCCTGAGTACCTACCTAGACTTCAACGTCATTAAGCAAATGGAATTAAGTTTGAACGAAACAGGCTTGCTCACCATCTACAATGGTCCATTCTAATATGAACATAGAAATATTTATTTATGATACGAAAAACATAATACGGCTCACCTACGATATGAGCTGGTTTCATATCTTAATAAAGATCTGGAGGAAATGTTATTTTCTGTTGGCGGTAGCTTGAAAATGATCACTTGGTGATCGAAACACGTATCGAGGTGTTGAAAAATGACGATTTGGTGTTGAAAAAAAACTCCAGTAACATTCAGTAGCCAAGTAGATTAATATTCAGAAAAATCATCTATTGATTCAGTCAATTTGATTCACTGAACGTTCCGAATTATATCTGCCCGTGATACCATGGTATCCAAATGCATCTTAATACATTTTCAACTACATTCATAAATTATTCTTCCATCTGAATACATCTCACAGTAATTTGAATTCAATGTAATTTGTAACTTTTGAACAGACACCACTCTCGAAGCATTCAAAGTGTTTGTATATCCTCATAAAACACAAAAAAAAAGTTGATTGTAGTGCATATTTTCTTTCATGATGCCTGACTAGCATGAACCGAAATTTGAGAATTTTCCTGAAAACTACTGCTTGAGCAGCTTTTCAACTTTCGCTCTTTGACATTTAACGAGGTGACCAATGCTCTTCTACCATACGACCCTCTTCTGTGGTTATCAAAAAAATTACCAATATATGAGTTCATCCGTACGGTTAGCTCCTGTTGGTGACACCGTGCATATGTGATGATGTGATATAAATCTCAATGAAAATAGCGAATTTGGAAACGATAAAATAAATAAGAATCCATCATATTTACAATATTTGGGGACCGTGACAAGACATAAAAGATGGATAGTTTGAAGAAAAATAGGCAGCAGTTGAGCGCTTGATGGAGCTTTGAAGCTGAAAGATTCAACTGAAGAGGATTTAATATTTCTACTGAGACAATTGGAGAATAAGAGTAGCAGATTATTCGAGGCAAATGAAGAAGTTGAAGAAAAATTGTCATTAGAAGCCAGCGAAGAGATAGAATTAGAAGAGGAGTATGATGAGGTGTAATATTACAGAGAACAGCTGATAAAACATAGATTCAAGTGCGAACTCCGATTGAACGAGATTAGGAAGACCCAAGAAGATCGTTGGAGCTGTTCCAATTTCTCTATAACGAAAAAAATCCAGAGAAAATTCATTTACCAAGACTAGAACTAAAGAAATTCGATGTGAACGTGAAGAACTGGATTGGGTTCTGGGAACAATTCAAGAAGATTCACAATGACCCAGAAATAGATAATGAAGACAAATTTCAGTATCTTTTACAAGTAACGGAAAGTGGTTCAGTTGCCCGAGATTTAGTAGAAAGTTACCCCCCTTCTGGGCCCAATTACATTAAAGCTATTGACCAGTTGAAAACTCGTTTTGCCAGGGACGAATTCCTAATCGAAGTTTACGTTAAAGCTAAAACAGGTATGTATCTTTCCAATCTGTATGAAAACTTGAAACCCAGCAAAGAATAAGCAGCTATGCTTTTTCCTTTTGTAGAATCGGCTTTGTCTGCAGAAGTTTTGAGAATTCAGGAAAACCATCGTAATTTTGATTAACGAAATAAAGAGGATGATAATGAAAATTTTAAAGGTACTAATTATTTGAATATGTTAGGTTTTTCGAAAATGGAGGTTGAGTCAGAAGGCACAAAAAGAATTCGGAAAAGGCAACGAGCACAACAAATATGCCAATGAGGATAAATATTTTCCAAAACAAAATGAGCCCGAATTATACATAGCAGCTGCTCTATACACAGCTAATCCCACATCGCCGCTGTAGGTGAGAGTGTGCAGGGGAATCCGAAGCAGTCGATTTAGCATCGCTAACAAGAACTAGGTCTTTCGCAAACCACAACTTGGCGAATTTTGCATCGTGACTTGGACCTGCATCCGTACAAAACTCATCTGATCCAGGAACTGAAGGTAAACGACCATAGACAACGATGTTGGCCAGGCCATCATTGTCAACGGCGAGCACTATAGGTTGATGATTACCAACTTCTTTTGGACTGAATTGAATGATCTGGACACCAACGACATATGGTTTCAACACAACGGTGCTACGTTCCACGCAGTTCATGCTATATTGTGTACTCTGCACGAGCGATTAGAGCCCTTGGTCATCTCACGTAGTGATGTGAATTGGCTATCGAGATCATGTGATTCAACCACGTTAGACTTTTTCTTGTGAGGTTTTTTTAAGTAGCAGATGTATGCAAATGAGCCACAAACCACAGCGGTCCTCAAAGCCAATATAACCGATGCCATCGGTCAAATTTAGCCTGATTTATTCCGTGGCAGACATTTGAATGATTTTAAACTCCACACATAATGGCAGCAATACGTATTTTAAACTAAAAACAAATTATGATGATATTTCACACATACTTTGTTTTATTTAAATTCAAAGACAGGAAACGCTTAATGAAAGATTTGTCTTAAGCCTCAAAGCCTCAGTTTTTATGATTAGCTCTCCATCGGCGCTAAATTACTTTCCAGCGAGCATTCACTTGAGGTCTGAGAACAAATGAAAGTCGCTAGTGGGGAGATCTGGATACGGTGGATGCAAGTCCAATTCATGCAATTTTGCCAAGGGTTACATTGATTTTGTAAATATAACTAATGATAAACTGTAACTTGAATACATCATGGATGGAGACCTATCGGTGAAGAGAAATCCCATTAGAGTCAATCACAATCTGTTACTCCGCTCAACAAGCAATTTGTGTTTACATATCATGATGCAAAGCAACTACGAACTTCGTTCCCTAGCTGAATGCACACCAACTCCACTGCATTCGTTCAACTTCCAAAGCAATCAGAACTTTCTACATATCCAGCCTAAACTTAGATTGCGAATCCAAAACGAGGCTTTTAAATCATATGCACTCACCCTGTTGTGGAATCCTCTACCCACTCTTTCGGCGTTGACCCAGATTTGCCATTCTCCAGTCTTGCCATTCCAACTCTGGCACGTATGATACCATCTGTTCAGTCGCAATGGGTAGTTAAGTCTATAGAAAGTGTGACCTTCCACCGCCATGCTGAAGTAGCTTGACCTCTCCGTGTTGGATATCCAGGAATGGATGGCTTTTGGTTGGCCGTCAACTGAAATACAATTTCAATTTCAGAGTGGTGCATCAAGAAAATTGTACGGCTCAGTTGTGTTGGTCTGCTATTGAATCGTTGCATAGCACAAGAATGTTAAGAACGTACACTTTTTTACACTTGTGTGATACATGTACACTGGTATAGCGACTCATGAGTGTACAGACAACCAATATGACTCACGTTTAGAATATTAATAATTATAATTAATTTGCACTGAAATGATTTCACAAAACTTCTATCTAGGAATACAGGCCGTGACTTATTCATAAACATACTTCAATAGTTTTGAAAATATTAACATGAAGAATCACTGCAATTAACAGAAAGTGTCACCAAGCCAGAGGACTGTCTGTGATATAAAAATTATGGCAAAAACCAAAAGGCTGCCCATAGTTGAAGCTTGCCTCATAAGAACATCGTATTGAAAATTCAAAAGATTAAAAGATCGTTGGTATATAATCTTACTGGTGGGGAAGCAAAAATGGATGGTTTCGAATGAGAATATCATAATATTGATATTATTAAAAGCTAGTCAATGATATATAAATTTAGAGTAAAAAAACTAAAGAACACGCTTTCAAAAAACATTGTACTGAAAAGCTTAAAACAATAACGAACGAAAAATACTAGCATTATTTTGAAAAAAGCGACGGCCGCTTGATATACAAAAAATATGGCACAAAGCGCTCACGCTTTTTTCACAATTATACTAGTATTTTTCATTCGTTATTGTTTTGACCTTATTTTGTCAAAATATTTTCAACTTTTTAGTTCGATGTTCGTCAAAAACGTGTTTTTTAGTGTTTTAAACAATATATATATTTTCCATTTTTTAGTTTCGTATGCGTGTTTTTTAGTCTTTTAAAACTATATTTATTTCATCTAAACTTTGGGATCAATCAGCCGTACATTGTTTAGAAAAATCAGCTACCAAGCTCAAGGAAGGCATCAGGCGTGCAAAGGAGGGTTACAAATAAGGCAGCAGGCGCGCGTATTATTAAAAAAATCCTTTTTCCAAATGAAGAAATATATGTAAAGTGAATTCGAATTTTATCAAGGAGGTTCCGTACAGCGCCATCTGCCTGCGAATAAATCAAGCAATAATGTAGATATATCAAGTAGGTTACGTACAGCGCCCTCTGCCCACGAATAGATCAAGCAATTATGTCCATAATTCTGGAGTTACAAACAAACTGACAAACAAACTAACATTCATACAGCTTCTCCTGTATGTATGTATCTACATTCATACAGCTGAAGCTAATAAAAGCGTGTTAATTAATTAAATAGTTTCATTCTTATTAGTCAGTGGGCTATGCTTGAAGCATGTCTTCAAACATAGCTCATTGACTAATGACAAAGTTTTTCTTTCTTATTTAGAGGAATCAGGCAAATAACGGATATGCAGTTGGTTAGGACCTCGTCCACTAATGGAGTGACATTTTGTGATGTTCGCTCCAACTTCGGAGCAGGAATGAAATACCCTGAAAGAATTTCGATTTTCAATTATGGAATATCATTGACTTTAGGTCGATGATGGTCACTATCTTGCACTGACCAGTGGCTAATGTGCCCGTTCCAAAATTGAAGGTCAACTCTATCAGTTGTATTGCCAATTTCATATGCAGGAAATTTTCTGTGAGGATTCCTGCACTGACGCCTGTCGGATATAATCCAACGCCCTTCGTGGTATTAGCCAGGAGAGTAGTTGTTTTCTGATATGCGTCAGTCCATTCAACCTACTGAGAAGGTATATTCGAGACTGGCTTGAACGTTCAAAGTTCATTTCTCTAGATTTAAAAAGGTTCAATTTAGACTTATCTAAAGTAAGGTCAGATACTGCCAAGTACCTACCAACACAGAAAAAAAGCTCTCAATTTCAATCATTTCATGTAATATATCTATATCTTTCTGTGATGTTAGACATACTTCCTTGAATCACATCCTTCTCGTTTTCTTAAAATACATAGCTTGTGTATTTTATTCCGGTAATACTCTTTCCGGAAGATTAAGAACCGTAAATAAAAATGACATAAGAAACTACCACGTTCCATCGTTATTACTGCAATTATTCACGCTGGCATAGCTTTCCTCGATTAATCATCAACAATTGGCCAGAGTAAATGAATGAGCTAGATACGCCTCAAGAATATACCGTACCAGAAGTGAAACCGTAGCTAAAACAATGTACCATCTGAAAGACCGATAACGCGTTAAAAAAACCAATATGAAAACAACATTTGCTAAATGACTAGATGATTTTCAATACATCATTCCATTAGCAGTGGCGGTTCGTGAGGTAGGACGTAATATTTTTATGTTTGAGGAATAGAATCAATTTCAAAATTGGGTTTCGTACATCAACATCAAAACATCATTTTCAATGGTCTTTCTTGTCTTAAAACTGGACGAAATTCCTCATCTTTCAACTACTTTTATCCTGATAGATTCATTATTTAGAATCTATCGAGTTTGTCCGGAAAAAATAATGAATCTATCCTAAATAACATGCCTTCATCACAATGAGCAGATACTAAATACGCCTTTTTAATTGAAAACATTGTTTCACTTGAGATAAGATTTTGCATCACGGTTTCTAGCTCTCTACTTCCTCATATTTATACAACTCCATAACTTCAGAAGGAAAGGAGAAAGTATCTGAAAAGGTCTCTGTTACATGATCTACGAACTACCTTATTGAGTACTGTTCCCGAAAAAAGAGGACTGGATCGTCCAGGAAAAGGAAATGTTAATAGCGGAGAGTTGTTGGTTCACAGATGGATCAACCGTCAAGTTCTAGTGCAGGTGTTTTTAGTCGTAGACACAGGACAGAGATATCTACCTGTCTAGAAACTTATGCGACTGTTTTTCAAGCGGAAATTTACGCTATTGAATTGTGTGCGGAGAGATTGAATAAATCCAACCTCGCTCACAAGTCAATAAAAATATTCTCGGAACGTCAAGCGGCGTTGGAAGCTCTTGGCTCTTACCGAGCAACGTCTAAATTAGTAGCAAACTGCCAAAAACTTAACAGATTGTGTCTGGTCTGGATTCCTGACGATACTGGCCTGGAAGGCAATGGAGCTGCTGACTCCTTTGTAAAGCTACAAGCAGCTTCATCGAACCAGAACCTGTCATTGGCATGGCTTCAGGCTTTGCCAAACAAACATTGAATAACTGAATGGCAAGTAGATTTATGGACTCCTATCAGAATCTTCCAGGATTCGCACTCCAAAGCGTTTATTCACCCTCCGAAGCTTAATACCAAACAGTTGTTGGACTACAATAGGAATGAGCTACGATGTCTAACAGGCCTTCTGACAGGTCACTGTCATTCGAATCATCATATGCAGAGACTTGGACTGTCGGAAGACAGTGTGTGTCACCTGTGCTTAGGAAAATATGAAACAGCAGAGCATATACTTTGTGCCTGCCCCGCTGGAGACCGAATCATGTTTTTAGAATTCGGCAGAGCCGTACTCTTACCATCTGAGCTGAAAGACCACTCACCATGCAAACTAATAGGCTTCGTTAAGAAACTGGGTTTATTTGGTCGAGTGTGAATAGGTGTGAGTCACAATAAACCCTCGCGGCTTGCGGTAGAGGGTCGAATAGACCCACTCACTTCAGATCTAACCTAATCATCTAGCCTACATGATCTACTCATCTTCTTGAAGAGTTCTTCTGGAAATCAATCACTTCCTTCCTTCCTTTTTGACATATTTGTTGCATAAAGACGGAAGAGTAGAGACCCAAACACCTCTGCAAATGTCTATGAATTTGAGGCTCAAGATCAAGTTTGCTTGGAATGAACAGAACCAGCATCATTTACATTTTTGGAGTCACTCCAAAAAGTTGATGTTGAATCAATATCTCCTTTTTCAACAGATGCTATTCTATATTTTGATTGGCTTCCAGGTTTTGTTGTGGTCTTCCTTGGTTATAATCTCCAAACGTTTCAACTGCGGCAGTCATCTTTAGTGGCGTTGCCGAAATACTCTTCTAGACGTATCAACTGTAACTACATTCCTACATTAGTTGCTATTCGAAGTTTTGGAATATTGATTTTGACTACTTAATAGTGGTTGTACAGTTTCTATAAACGTTTGATTGTCCAAAGCAATTATGGTCCAGCCAATCAGTCAATATGTCTTGGCACAATTATGTCGATGTTACTACAAATGTTGCTTCTCAAAAGCTTGGAACACTGTTCTGAACCAGAAAACTGCAACTTTTGAGAGCTTAACTCTCTTGTAGCTTATATCAGACTTTTATTGAAGTATTGTTCTCAGGTATGGGGTTCCGTCCCTGAGTATACCCTGAAGCTGTTGGATTCCATCCAGAAAAGAGTCATCCGCCAGATTGAAGACACGAAAATCATTTGCAACCTTGATAGTCTGGAATATCAAAAAAAGGTTTTGTGACTTGGCACATTTGATTCCACCAAGAGCGGATCATATCAGAAATACGCGACAGACTGTGGCTGCTCATCGTTTTGAGGTTCAACTCAGTACACCTCGAACTACACTTTTCAGAAACAGTTTTTCCAAATGAATCTAAGCTACAGCGCATAAGCACCGTTCCTACTGTGCTTTGGGGATTTTCCTGTGGTGCTTTTGCACATCCATAAACAACGAGTTCCATTTAACATTTTTGGTACTTCAATAAATATTGTGATTGGGAAATATATTACATAAAAATGTGTACTTTGTTCGAACATCTGTCTATCAATTTCGATTTTGTCGAAGAATATAAAAACTCTATGTCAAGTAGCCTAGAGTTTGATCAATACTGAGTGCCTGACTTGAACGCAACACCTAAAATCAATATGATTTCCAGCTAGGAATGGAATAAATATGTTGATAATTGATAAGAATTGATATTTACTGCAGCTTACCCGCATATGAAAAGATTGGGTGATCATTGCTGTGGTTATAAAACTTGCTCCAGTAACACAACGTGAACTGCTTGATGTCTGGGATTTCAGTCTTATACTGAATATACTGGAAGTACAGATCTTGCGTGAAACCTACTTTGTAGACCTCGCACTGGTCTCTTCCTTGTACGGCGCCTTGCTGATACCTGAAAATCGTTAACTGTGTTATAGAGGGTGATTTTGTAAAATGATATATGATGGAATTGGCTGATACTTGATGAAAATCCATAACCAACGTATTCAATAAATACTTTATCGTAAGAGTTTCACTAAACGATTTTACAAAAACGAAACACGTGTTTCGCCATGCAATGGCTTCTTCGGGTGTACCTTTACTAACTATATTCTACATATTCATTGCTAAATATAACTTATTCTACAATTTGAAGTACTTACATTTCAAGTACCTGTTTTTTACCTAAGTTTCTAATGAATTAAATTGCCTGAGCTTATTTGCCAGTTTCCACATTTGAAAAATTTTTTAGTAAAGGGGAGTTATTCAAGTCTAATTGAATTATACATTATACATACATACATTATACAATTATACATTTGTAAATCACCTTTTTGCAAAAGGACATTACTTCAATCATGAATACGACGTATTACATTTAGAAATCTCAATCTTCTAGAATTGATAGAGTCAGGAATTCGGGTAATTTAATGAATGACTTATTAGAATTGAATAACTCCATATTACTGAATATTTTTTCAAATGTGAAAACTGGGACATATGCTCAGGTAATTCAATTCATTACAAACTTAGGTGAAACTCAGTTACTTGAAATGTAGGTACTTCAAATTGTAAAATTGGGTATATTAAGCACTGAATATGTAGAATATAGTTAGTAAAGACACACTCGATGAGAAGAAGCCATTAGATAGCGAAACACGTGTTGGATTTTTGTAAAATTGTTTAGTGAAAATCTCACAATGAAGTGTTTCTTGAATACGTTTGTGAAATTATATGAATTATTTTTCAAAAAGAGTTAGAAAACGTATAACAGGATAAAATTTTATTTAAAAAATTGTTTTTCTGTCAACGTTTCAAATTCGATAACATTCTTTTTCAGGGCTGTAAATAATCAGATTTTCTAGACAATAACATTATTATACACAGAGATATGAAACAAACGAAAGGCTTTATCTACGATATTGGTAAGGTGGTGTCCGTATTCATTAATGACAAAAAAAAAAGAAGAAAAAGAGAATTCTTTAGGTATTTTACTGATTTGATTGAAATATGCCGTATTGAGGCCACCGGCATCCCTTCTAGTGCAGTATCGTGTTTAAGGATTATTACGCTCAAAAGTCTTTTGAATAAATATGGTTGAACATCTAGAATAGTCATATGTTCAAAGTAAAAAATGTATCCATGTCTCCTTTCATGTTCAACAAGGGCTATGGGGTTTTTGATACCTAGTTTCTCAGAGTCTCTGATGTGTTTTTGAACTCGCGTTTGACGATATTGTCTGATTCGACCAACATTTCATTCGGGACAACTTTTACCGTTCAATTTGTTGAAGTGTATCTCTTGCAGTGTTTCAATTTTTTTCTTTCGAGAAAAAGTACTTTTTAAGTGTATATTCGATTGAAAAGTTCATTTCAATATGTTTGTTGCTGAGTAACGTTCCAAGTTTCTCTGACAAAATTTCTACAAATGGTGTTTTGTGTGAATAGTGTTTGACAATTTCAATACCTACTTGTTATTGCAAGTCCTATGAATGACATATTTCATTTGATTCGATATATGGAAGGGAATATCGAATGTGAATCCATTTTCTATGTCACAAATATTCTAGCAAGTTTTGAATATTTCATATCACATTAAATACTTCTCTGATGAATACTGAATACTAACAAATAATCAGTTTCTAATTGCTTTCCTCATCAAATACTAACCCTTGACTCAAGAGTCCATCCAAAGAAGGCGCTGCAGGTTGGAAAGGTTTGACGCCTTGAAAGAACTCGTGCTGGAAAGGATTCCAAGTGTCAGGTTCATGGACTCCGGCGGCACACGTGAGAACTAGAAGAGCTAGACACAGCGCAAGGTATTTGTACATTTCTCTTGAATCAAGTGCTCCAAAATCGAGGTCGTGAATTTGTCAGTTTTCTTCGAATATGGGTCACAAGCGTCGAGCATATGTCATCTGAAATCAGATATTGTTTACATTGCGGTTTGTAAGAAATCCGCTAATCGGTGAAGGATACCAAATGTCTCAAATTCAGTCTAGAACGTATCACTCATGATGAATATAATGTTGGTATTTTTTATCAGATTTTCATAACACGGTAATGAATAATATACGAAATATAATAATAATAATAAAAGGGCTTTATTCATTGACATGCAATGTTTATAAAGAACAAGTTAATATAAAAAAATCAATGAAAGGGCGAAGTTCAGCCGAAGCTATTTCACAACTTAACCTGGGGGATAGCATGCTTTATATAGAAATATAAAAATTAAAAATTACCTAGTATACCTAGGTATACCTAGTATACCTAGTATACCTAGTATTGGTAAGTGAAACTAAGAAAAAACAAAGGTTATAAATTCAAAAGTAAATATTAAAAATCTATTCAGCCTAAATAAGGTAAAATATATAGCAAAACATACACAAAGGTGAGACAAAGGGAAAACCATATGAGCAAGGCATAACATGAATATATCATCTATCCAGAAGACTTCAGATATGTTTTCAACTTTTTCTTGAAATTATACAGTGTGTAACAACGAAAACTTAACAGAGCCGTTTTTGAATATAAAAAGTAAGAT